ACACAAACAAACTTCCAAAAAAACTGCACTTTATTTACAGACGGAGGCGACTGGACGCCTCATTGCAAAGTAACAACAACAGCAGCAGCAGCGGCGGCGACAAACACAGCAGCACGATTCCAAGCAGAGCCCTGGCAATGCCGAATTCCCAATGAAGCCCCGGCTCGCAACCAACGGTTAAATCGAGTGCCGAAACACACTCGCTTCAAAATAACTCGAGGCCCGACATTTAAACAACAACAACAACAACAACAAAGTACATTCCTGACGTGGGAAAGAGTAGTGGCGCAGTGGTTAGCGCGCCGCGCTGTGATAAACAAGGCGGGCGACGCGGTAATCCGATCGATAGCCGCGGTCACGGCTTTCACACCCGAGAAGAGTCGAGATATGTGGACAGGTCCTCGAGGACTGCCAACCACGCCACCTCCCCTAACCCCGCTCGCCCTTCCCTACATCAAACCGCACCGGCCGACGTGGTTAAGTTTGATAAAAACACAACGCAAAAACCCTCGTGACTGACAGCGTGGGAAGGAGAAGGGCCTTTGCCCAATCGTGACTTCACAAAGAAAGGGAAGTGGAGTATATGATTATATTATTGTAATTCTCGTCGTCGTGAAGAGCGCTGAGCTTCGTGCAGTTAAAATTGTTAAATCTCACGCGGTGAGCAACTGCATTGAGTCGGGTTTCTTTGGTTGTTGGTAAAGTTATTATTTTTCTTACGAAAGCTCGAGCGAGTCTCGAGATTTTGTTTTTTTCAAGACAGCGCCTCGATTGAACTGCATTCTCGTTGCTTGCAAGGGAGTAAAGCAACGTCGCTCACGAGGTGATGACGCTCACAATAATAATAATAATTTATATTTATTTGCACGAATGTCTCAAGGCGCCTTGTAAGAACAAGGAAAGGCCAAGAGAGACGGAGGAGCTAAAAAGGAAACATCTGACTTACAGTGTTCTAAGACGATATTTAAAAGTATCCACATCATCGGATAATCGACTTTTGCAACGGAAGGGAAATTCCATAACCGTGGCGCAGACACGGCAAAAAAATGCACCTGTCGGACACCTTACTTGCTGTACTGCATCGCTCAGGCTACTGGGTGCCCTCGCAACCTTCTTGCGAGGCACCAAAAATCCCACCTCCAAATCGATGTCGGCTATCGCACCACTGCAGGGTGGAACATCGGTGGTACCAGTAGATGGCAGTCCAGCAACAACGTGCGACTCGCGGAGAGGGGGGAGGCTCCCTAACTCGCAAAGATTTTGCCTTGCCCGTAAGATGTACGGATCTTTGAACGTCATCCCCTCCTCACGCGTTCATTGTTTGTATAGCTTTATTTTGGTGATTTTGAAAACGTTTTGGTTTAGCCATGTTTGTTTGTTGTAATACCGAGTTAGCCTGATAACTTTAATCTAAATTGTCTTATGGTTGCTATTGTTTGACTTGCATCCCACTGGGATTTTTGCACACAGCGTTGAAATGCGGTGTTCTTTCTGGAAGACTTTGCTGTTTTTTCCCGTATTTTTCTGTTGCGTGCAGTCACTTTAAGATGTTTCTTGTTCGTATTTTTGTTTGTTGCGGTTGCACCCGAGTCAAGAGCCGCATGGCTCACAGGGTTATGAACTAATACATGAAACTGGAACTGACTGAACGTGTTCATTCGTCACGTGTAGTCAGCGAGGGGCCGTCGTGCCAAACGTGCGACCTCTTGCGTCGAGGCAAATTGGATTATTTAGCTGCTAGAAATGTCCAAGTGATAAGCCACTTTGTTGAGCTATCATTTTGTGGCCAGGTCGCTTTTGAAAAATAAGTTAATACCTCAAGTGGCCTTTGTCTGGTAGGATGGGGATGATTCAGTGTTGTATTTGTGTGTGTGTTTGGGTGATTTGTGTACCATTCTTTGCACTCCTATCGTGTTTGTGTACTGTTTGTTGCTGTGACGTTCTGACCCCTCCCCAGGCCCCTGCCGGGCATCCGTGAAAAGAAAATCTTCTTCACAGGCTCATCGGATTTCTCCTGCAGTATAAATACATCATTCTCGTTCTTGCGACAGCATTCGCATCAACTGCCCTCGGCTCCCACACACTTGCGTGGCATGGTCTCGAGTGCTTTGCTTGATCCACGGATCACGTGGGGCGACCGCGACGGCGGGTTACCCATTAAATTTCGATTTAAAGCTTTCGTGACTGCAATGATTCATCTTCTTTGGTTCTTTCGGTAAAGTCACGTAGAATGATAATAAAATAATAAATTGATAAAATAATTCCTTTGTCAAGGCGCTTTGTTCCTCTCACACAGCTTAAAGGCCGTATCTGAACGTGGCTCTTTCACTCCAGCGCTGTCCTACCAGACAGTCTCGCCCCCTTCACCTGATGAAGGCCGCTTGTGTTGTGGCCGAAACGTCGTGAGAATATTATTGTGTTATTTTATTTTATCAATTTATTATTTTATTATCATTCTACGTGACTTTACCGAAAGAACCAAAGAAGGGTTACCCATTGCTTTCAAGGTCGCAGACCTCAACGTCGAACGTCGACTCGCCCAAACGGCAGCGCAGCGAGCGCAATGTGCCGCTGGAGTTTGCGCACCGAGACGGGGCGACATCGGTCCGCAAAGCGGCGACGACGACTGTAGGTCTGAGCTCTCGATCGCAGAGGGCGCCGCCGGGTCTGCAGATGTGACGGTGACATTTCTGACGAAGTGGAGCCATCGGACGCCCGTGATGGGCGTCCGATGGCGTATTTCGCGTCGCGCGCGGAAGGACTGCGGCCGATCCAAATCGCCTTGCGAGCAATGTCCCAGGCATTATTAAAGCACGCGGGTTTAGCTCCTTGCGAAGTAGCGCGCGGATTGTAACTGGAACTGCGATTGGACGGAACACGTGACGTGCGGCTAATCTCAACTTAAATTCTCAGTCGCCTGCGTCCTACCCATTAAGCATGCCAACGTTGGGCTAACGTTGACACGTGGTTGAAAGTGCCGAAACAACTTTGGGCCAACGTTGACTCAACGTTGCGTGTTTACTGGGTCAATGTTTGTCTTCGACAAAATATACAAGCTACGTGTGGATTCTAATCCGGCTGGCGAACATGACGAGCCTTTTAACGAGACGTGCGCACGTTTTATTAATTCCCTCGATTTTTCCAAAGAACCTTTATTCAAATAGACATAAATTATTGACGTTTAATTTTTAATTGAAAAAATCCCGTGTGTGTTTGTGGGGAGCGGTGGTGTAGCGGTTAGCGCGCTGCGCTCCGAATTCGGCGACCCAAGTTCCGATTCCAGCTCACAGGCAATACCGGTGACGATTATCTTAATCAGGTCTTGGGCCCCCCCCTAGGTAGACTCAGCCTCAAATGAGTACCTGTTGCGGTGTGTAGTTAACATCGCCACTGGGGAGACAAAGGCGGTCGTGCGTGGTGCTAGCCACCCACCCCCTCGTGTGCCGTGCCAGCCATCATCGGTACTCGCTAACAGCACTTACCCCAACGGTCTCTTAAAGCTACACGGGGGGATGATATTCTTTCTTTGCTGGGGAGCCGTGGCGCTGTGATTAACGCACTGACGACCATCCCAGCATCCCATGGCTATCAGCGGTGGCGAATATCTGAGCCGGTCCTACGTCTCCCAAGGCCTTACATTATTACCTGCTTTGGCGTGTAAACGTCAGCACTGGGGAGGCAAAGGCGTCCGGGAGCATGATGTTTCTCACACCTCCCCCTATTGAGTCGGGTTTCGCCTTAATAGGGGCTCGCGAACGGCACTTTGTACGGACAGACTGCAAGGGCTACAAGGCGAGTCTTAGTGTGCGTGTGCACGTGCATGTGTGCAGTGCCGGACTAAGCGAATGCGGGGCCTGTAGCACGATGTTATCAAGGGGCCCTACATTTAAAAAAAAACATAAATATTAAAACAAAAATTTTTTTACTTGCACAGTAAAGCAATTGTATTTTCTCATTTGCTATACAGCCAGGTGATACGACAAATTGCTAAGCTTAAACACCCAGTCGTTCGTGAAAGTTGAAGGCAGTATAGTACTATAGTAATAGAGCAAGTGCAGAATCACTGAACCGGAATTGATAGCTTGAAAGCGTTTAGCGTGGGGCCCTAGCATATGTAGCTACTATTGCTACTCGGATAATCCGACACTGCATGTGTGCACGCGCTTGGTCTTGTAGAGAAACCAGCACACAAGCGGTGCCGCAATTGCATGACCAACAAAAGCTCTCGGCCTTGCCCAGACCACGAGCTCAACTGAACTGAACGTGTCGCCATTTTGTGATTTAGAACCAGTGATTGGAAGGGCTGAGAGAATGTGGCCATCCCGACAACGGGCAGCCGTTGAAACAAAGACACAAAAACTATTAGACAGATCAATGTTTGCTGCTGCAATACGCCTCTGAGATCCCCATAATGTGGTGAGGACTGGTACCCTCACGCTATGGGGGAGCCCGTTAGCCGCTTCCTGAAGGCAAGTCACTCAGATGACTTGTTTGTGACCCCACAGGAAAATGTTCCCTTGCAGCCAATGAGGCCTTCAGGGTGACTGTGCGGTCAGATTAGCACAACTCCATTCTCCAGGCCACGCTGACTGACGCCTGCTGTATGTTTGGAGTTTGCGCGTGGAATTTTCTCCAGCTCCTGCGGTCTTTCCCTCCACATTGTGAATCACGCGATTACCACGTACGGCGCGAAATAAGTTCAACATATATACATTTGGCTGCGAGGGATTTCCACGTGACAAGCCGCTTCGTTGACCTATAATTGGTGGACAGGTCGCTTCTGAAAAGGAGCTATTAAGCTCAGTGGGCCCTACCTGGTAAAATAAAAATTAGATAGTTTAATGTAAAATAAAAATGTTTAGTTAACTTTTACGTCTGCCGTGGAGATGTAACAATGAAATTAGGCTGTGTGTAGGTTTTAGGTGGATTCTTATCCTGTACAATTTCAGGACCGATGGTTTTGATTTGGGCTGCTCCCCCCCCCGTCCCCTTCTCCTCCACCCCCCTTCCCCCCACCACCACCACCATCTCTCCTCGGGGCGTCTTCAGCAGCTGGAGAACTCCGACTCGGACGTGACGGAGGTGACGCGGCCGCGCTGGTAGTGGGCGCTGCCGCTGGCCGGGTACCGCGCTATCGCGTGCACCGCCCCTCCCCCTCCCACCCCTCCGCCGCCGCTCGCCTTGCGCGAGGAGCGCAAGTGCTTGAGCAGCCGGCCCAGGCGGCGCTTGAACTTCTCCCCGATGAAGGCGTAGAGCACGGGGATGAGGCAGCAGTGGGCGAAGCCCAGGCCCTCCGTGACGGCGAGCGCCCGCGCCAGCGTCTCCTCGAGGGCGCACGACCGCGCCGCGGCCGCCTCCGACCCCGCGTCCGCGCCGTCCTGCGGCCGCTGCTCGGCGCCCGGACCGCCGACGCCGAGTCGCGCCAGCGTGTCGGCCACCACCACCGCGTTGTAGGGCAGCCAGAAGGCGAAGAAGACGGCCACGATGGCGACGGTCACCCGCACGGCCTTGCGGCGCTCGTGCACCTGCGAGCGCGACAGCCGGCGGATGATGCTGCAGTAGCAGAAGAGCATGACGGCGCCGGGCGCGACGAAGGCGAGCAGCAGGTGCTTGGCCCGCAGCGCGGCTCGCCACGCGGCCGCCTGCCCCTCGGGGTAGGCGTGCTCGCAGCGGCTGGCGCCGCTCAGCGGGTCCGTGGTGACGGCGCCGAACGCGAAGTCGGGGGCCGTGAGCGCCAGCGAGAAGAGCCAGACTAGGGCGCAGGCGCGCGAGCCGCGGGCGGCCGCCGCGGCCGCCCCGGCACGGTTCCCGTCGCGGCGCGCCGTCGTGGCGTGCACGATGGCGCGGTAGCGGTCGACGCCGATGCACGCCAGCAGCAGGATGCTGCAGCTGAGGTTGAGGGTGTGCACCGCGTGCACCGCGCGGCACAGCGCGGTGCCCAGCCGCCAGCGCGCCGTCGCGTTCGCCGCCACGAAGGGCAGCGTGGCGACGAAGAGGAGGTCGGCGGCCGCCAGGTTCAGGAGGAAGCGGTCGGCGGCGGTGGGCTGCCCGCGGGAGCGCGGCTGCAGGGTGAGCACCACGGCGACGAGGGCGTTGCCCGCCAGGCCCAGGAGGCACACCGCCGAGTAGGCGGCCACGAGGAAGTTGCGCTGGAAGAGCCACGTCGCCGAGAGGTCGCAGCCGGCGTCGTGCGGGGCGGTGGCGTTCTCCTCGTCGTCCAGGCCCGCCAGCCACGACAGGTTCACGTTGAAGGGCTCCAAATCGTCAGACTCCATTGCCTAGAGCAGAGGGAGGGGTGGGGGGTCCAAAATAACAAGAAGAGACATTTTGACGTCGAATTCGGTAAACGAAATAAATGTTTCAAGAGCGGCAGTGCGGCGTGGTGACTACGAGGCGGTGCTGAATGAATAACGTCACGGGGCAGTCCTCAAAGAGCCGCATGCAGCTCCGGAGCCGCAGATTGCCGACCGCTGGCCTAGGGGCTGCGGAGGAGGATGTGGGGTGGTGGTGGTGGTTGTGGTGGAGAGCAGGAGTGCAGTGGTTAGCGCGCTGCTCAGCTAAAATTAGCACGATTGGCGAAAGATGATCAACATACTTACATACAGGCACCACGAACCCGGCGACAACGGATTCGATTCCCACTCATGGCCACCACCGGTAACGATAATTATCGGAACCGGTCCTGGGCCTCCACTAGGTCGACTCAGCCTCAAATAAGTGCCTGGTGCGATGTGTAAACGTCACCACTGGAGAGACAAAGGCGGCCAGGCCTGGTGCTGGCCAGCCACCCCCTTCGTAGGTACTCGCTAACAACACTTGCCTCAACAACCTGTTGAGGCTATACGGTCGTGGTGGTGGCGAACATCTGTAAACACTCTCCGAAGCATATCCAGGGCCGAATTAACCCATGGGCTAATAAGGCATATTTTGTAGGCCAATTCATTCCGTGTTGACGGAACAGGCTCACCGCCTGCTTAGCTCCGCAGATCTGATGAGGTTTGGCCCACGCGGTTCATCGTGGCCGTGACGGAGACAATGAGCTGGCACCGCGTAGCATTCTGGCTTAAAAATTCAGGTTTTGGCCTCGGCCTGGCCGCCAATGAATGTCACACCGAAAGAGAAAAAAAAAACACGTAAAATTGATTTTTTTTTTACTTAATTCTGAGAAATAACAGGCTTGGAAAATGCCACATCACAACGGCATGCGGCCGTGGGGGACGAAGCTGATAGCGTAAGATTCGTTATCGTCAACATTTCGTATACACCAAGGCTTGGGCTGCCAACCGCCACCGTTACAGCGTAACGGTGGCACTGTACGGCTCTGCGATGTGTGACTCGGGGTGTCGTGCCCCGTGCAAACTCGATCGAGCTCCTGAATAAGCTCCTAGCACGTGGCAGCGAAACGTCGGACACGGTGTCGTCAACACGATGTCCGACGTTTCGCTCCATGCGGCAGCAGCCACGCCGGTGAGCTGGCACCAATGACAATTGCCCAGGCTCTGCAATCCTCTATTTTAAGGTGTTAGTAACCATCTAATGAGTGCTTATATGTGAGAGGACCCGGAGCACACGGAGACAACCCACGCGTGCGAGGGAGCAACACTCTATCCCATACGGATGTGAAACAGACGGCGAAGAGTCCACTTGCTGTACCGCCTTCTTCTGGCGAGCCGGGGGTCTCGCTCGTCCTCGACGCCCATGGGAAGGGAGTTTCACCACATTAGTGTGTGATGACCCGCCAATACTCGCTGCTGCCTCCGATTATCAGGGTTGGCAAGGTACGTTGCGAAAGAAGTTGAACGTACGTACAAACGCAGTGCTGGATCACAGGCAGCCACGCCCTCTGCGTTCACAATCCCAGCAGTCTCTGTCTCCCCGTCCCCCCCTGTGCCCAATCACGATTCACTTATTTTTCCCCTTCTGGCCCCCTGGAACGAGCTGCCCCTCCACGTCAATCATTCAGCATCACTCTCCGTGTTTCGTTCTAGCCTGAAGACACTCGCTTACTTGCCCGCCTCTTCCCCCCTCCCCCCCATCATTAACACCGTCCATCCCCCTTTCCCAACTTCCCCAGCCATCGTCACGCTCGCTCACTCATCATCAACCACTCATTTTCACTTTCATCACCGTTTGTTTTCACGCATCATCACCATCATCACATTCATCACGCACGCGCGCGTGGAACTTCTAACGCGCCGTACGCAGCCAACCGTGCTCATCGGAGGCGTGGCGGAGGCGAAGGACAACAACACTAAAGCTGCAGTCCTTCTCGCCGACTCATCTCATCACACTGCTGCTGGACAAGGCGCTATATAAATTAACAAATTAGAAGACCCCCCCCCCCCACACACACACACACAAGGTGAGGCGCAAGGTCGCGAGGGGTCATGGAGGCGAAAGCGGATGACTTCGTCACACCTCGCCCCACGTCGCTTCTGCCAGTGCCTGGAGTAGTTGCGAAAGTTGATAGCAAAAGCAAGTAATCGGGTCGTCGTGAAAGAGCCAACACAGACGATCCCTGGGTTTGATCTTCCACGAAGTTCACGGTCCACCATGAACTGCACGAACCGTGGCGGCGGACGCGGATATCTGATGCGCAAATTGGCAGCTAAGAACTCTCGTGCAGTGTGCGACTGTGGTCCATCCGGATGCCCGATCCACAAACACGAGGAAGACGTCACAGCGAGAACACTCAGCTGCTCGTGACGCGGTTGTCTGCAGGCCTGACCGCCTGAACGTGAAATCGCGGTTTGTTGCTCTGCATCCCAATCAGCCGTAAGAAAGAAGAAGAAGAAGAAGAAGATTAAGATCGGGTAATCCTAATGAGGATTCCTTGTTAGGATCACACCGATACTCATCAAGACGAGAGGGATCCACAGTCAACTGCCCCTGCATCGCTGCTGCTGCTGCTGTTCGTCAGTCGGTGTCACATTTTACCCAGGACCGCGATTGCACCTCTGCAGGAACTGTTGATGGGGTTTTTTTTAAATTGTATTTTAAATTTTTTGTTTAACGCGCAAAAGGCCGCGTGTTTTGAACCCCGTGTTGAGTGCGTCGCCTGAAACCCTCGCGATCTCCCACCAAGGCCGGATTAAGGCACGGGGGCTTTAGGGGGGCTGCAGCCCCAGGGGCCTCCGCCAGCCAGAGGGCCTCCAGAGATGAAGTGAAAAGTTTTTTCATTTGTGAATGCTGAATTTTATTTGTTGTTAGTCATGTAAAAATAAATGTTATTTTTCTTTAACTTTGTTTTCCTTTTGAAAATATTACTGGGGGGCTCACACAGTTCCTGTAGCCCAGGGGCCTCACAGTACCTGTAGCCCAGGGGCCTCACAGTACCTGTAGCCCAGGGGCCTCACAGTACCTGTAGCCCAGGGCCCTCACAGTACCTGTAGCCCAGGGGCCTCACAGTACCTGTAGCCCAGGGGCCTCACAGTACCTGTAGCCCAGGGCCCTCACAGTACCTGTAGCCCAGGGGCCTCACACAATCTGAATCCGGCCCCTGCCTCCCACCACGTGGCTGCAGGTCGTCACCGTCTTGAGACAATCGACGACGTCCTTCGAGGGACCCAACTCCCTGCAGCCTCATCAGCAGCGCCGCCTGGTATCGCAATTCGTTCGCCCTAGACCCGGAAAAGCCCTCACAGAGTCTCAAGACTCTTCTTTTGTTGTTGTTTTATTTTATCCCGGGACCGTCCTCCAACCCGGACTTTTGGCCAATGTCATCGATGAGTCGGGCTCCAATTTCGGCGAATTCAAAGAATCACAGCGCAAATTACTCAATTGGGATTATACCCAAAAGCAATCATCGTCCCCTACGAGCAGACTAATGCCCCAGGTCACTTTTGCAAATGACATTCGTCAGCTGGTTCATAGCACGGTTGGCCACGTACGGTGCGAAAGAGGTTCAACATGCAGCAGAACCCCTACTGCACCTCAGTTAACGACTCATGGCTTAACGACGGGCCTCCATACAGCCAAGTGTGTTCGCTTACCGACCATTCCCCTGTTAACGACGGGCTGTTGTAGGTTCAGTAAATATTAATGAATGCACTGATTAACCATGTTTCTTTTAATATTGTGTTCATAATGTTGTGAGTATCTTCATGTATTAATATCCATTAATTAAACATTTTAAAGTACGCTTTTTCGGTGAAAGAGGGGTAACTTTCGATGCCATCGGGACGAATTAATCCTTTAGCCTATATTCCTTAATACTCGCCTGACGACCAGATCACGGAACGACCGGTTTCGTGAAACCAATTTGCCGTCGTAAAGAGTGCACATGCATCGGTGACGACAACATGAACGTGAAGCTTGAACTTCAGCGAGCTGGCACCACGGGCGAGGCAACTGGAGAACCCCGGGTTAACCCCCACCACGGACACGCGAGGGGGAGACGCTCAGCGCCGCACGCCTATAACACCTGGCAAGCCCTCCAACGGCGGCCGCCCACCCAAGTTACCATCCAGGCCTCGACCCCAGCCCAACTCCTGAGCGCTGACGACTGGTCGTGTTTCATGGCGATTTAACGGACGGCATTGCCCGACGCTCGTTTGACCGCCGACGCGGCATCCGTGCACCGCTCTTGGCAGTCTCGTCCGTCGCAAGCCGTCGTCGCAATGCCTCGTCGCGTCTTGTACGGCGGCGCCCCGCTGAGCTTACACATTCGTAACGCACGTGGTTTAGAAACGCGCGTTTGGAGAGTTTGGCTGCTCCCCGTGAGCATCCACGCGATGACGATACGCCACTTTGTTGAGCTGTCATTTGTGACAGCCAGAGTCGCTTCTGAAGAAGAGTTAAGTGGCTCAGTGGGGAAGGAGACATCATCACGTGCACCTGGGAAGGAGACATCATCTCTAGAAGGGATGATGGCGGTTGGGTGAGGTCGTGGGTTCGATCCCGACCCTTACGCCTGCTGGATATTTGGAGCATGCGTCTCTCTCTCTCCCCGTGGTCGCGTGGATTTTTCTCCCGGCCCTCCGGTTTTCCCCTCCACATTTAGAAACATGCGTTTAGAGTGTTTAGCTGGGATACATTTCCACATGATAAGCCACTTCGTTGAGCTATCATTTGTAGCCAGGTCGCTTCTGAAGAAGAGCTACGTGGTTCAATGGGGCCTAACCTGTTGAAATAATACAAATAGTTTAAAAGATGAACTACTACTACCCCTTTTGTGGATTAGAGGTCATTCGAGATTTCAGAATTTATTTTTTGGTAGGAGGAAACGAGTGAGGCTGGATAAAACCTTCACACGTGGGGGCGTACCTGGTGAAATAAAAAATAGTTTAT